CTTAAGGAGATACTCTTTCCCATGCTGTGCTTAGGATCTCTTCCAAATTTTAGATAACTGGCCCTTTTTACGAACGAGAAATTTTATCACAACGCATTGTTCCAGTCTCAGAGGCAGGTGTTGTTCCTTCATTACTCTCGCGACTGCAAGGTACAACTGAGCAAGTTCTAATCTGCATGGCAGGTAAAGTGGGGATGGTGGCTGTACTCATTCGAAGAATCTGAGTGTTGTGCATGAGTAGCAGTTTGTAGCAGCAACACTCCCAATCATATTTCAATTGCCTTGTACTAGTTCACGATATCAGCAAAGCCCTAACTTAACCTCGGTTACCTCTGGCTAATCACTCGCGAAGAATCAAAGTGATCTTTGCCTGCTAGCTATAGCAAATAATAGAAATTCAAAGCAGAGTAGATGCCATCTTAAGTTGCCAAATGTTCTCTGATAATTATAATTCTTGAAATTGATTATTTATATTTAAAACTATTTGGCATTCTGATGGAAGTAGGCGTATATAAAAAGCCAAAATGATAGAATAACTGGCTAACTAAAACAAAACCTTACAAAATAACCCCGTTGATTAAAAAACGTGAAGTGTTTTCCAATATATTTCAAAGATTTTTTTGTTGCCTAGAAACATTTTCATAATTAAAAGATATACGTATTTACTTCGATGTCCTCCTCTTTTTTTTTTTTTTTATTGATTCTATCGTACGAATATAAAGAAAGGAAATTTATGCGATTTATTATTTGGAGGACGCGTTTACAGTAAAACAAAACACACGAAAAGTATTCATGGATTAACTATAAGTAACTATGATAGTATTATTTATTTAAAAGAAACCTAAACATTCCAATAGAAATGCACAGTAATAATACACTATCTAATAAGATATCTTCATTTCTTATTCCTTGCATCTTAAATCTCACAGCTTTTATTACTTTTTTTCTTTCCACCGACAGCAGGGCAGCTGGTACACTGGGGCAGTTGGCATATCAGCCATGTAGCCCGCTGACGGAAATAACTTGATCAATATAACACACTTTGGTACATATTGTGCTCAAGACGAGTGCTGGGGGCAGTGCAAACAAATACTGGACGAGACGATAGTGCAGTGATGGAAGAAGGATGCATTGCGGGTGAGAAGAACAATTTCAGTTACATATTTACAGAGTTTATGGATAGGTGGTTACAAAAGGCATCCACAACGTGAACAATAAATGAGTACAGTGTAATATATGAGCAATTAACAGAGTGACTGATAAAACAGTAAAAAATAATATCTAAAATAGGGTTAAATACTAAATAGCAATGCTAAAAATAATAAGAAGTAAAATACTAAAAAAAAAATAATAAATAAAAGAAAAAAAAAAAAAAAAAAAAAAAAAAAAAAAAAAAAAAAAAAAAAAAAAAAAAAATAAAAAAAAAAAAAAACAACAAAAAAAAAAAAAAAAAAAAAAAAAAAAAAAAAAAAAAAAAAAAAAAAAAAAAAAAAAAAAAAAAAAAAAAAACAAAAAAAAAAAAAAAAAAAAAAAAAAATAAAAAAAAAAAAAAAAAAAAATAAAAAAAAAAAAAAAAAAAACAAAAAAAAAAAAAAAAAAAAAAAAAAAAAAAAAAAAAAAAAAAAAAAAAAAAAAAAAAAAAAAAAAAAAAAAAAAAAAAAAAAAAAAAATAAAAAAAAAAAAAAAAAAAAAAAAAAAAAAAAAAAATAAAAAAAAAAAAAAAAAAAAAAAAAAAAAAAAAAAAAAAAGAAAAAAAAAAAAAAAAAAAAAAAAAAAAAAAAAAAAAAAAAAAAAAAAAAAAAAAAAAAAAAAAAAAAAAAAAAAAAAAAAAAAAAAAAAGAAAAAAAAAAAAAAAAAAAAAAAAAAAAAAAAAAAAAAAAAAAAAAAAAAAAAAAAAATAAAAAAAAAAAAAAAAAAAAAAAAAAAAAAAAAAAAAACAAAAAAAAAAAAAAAAAAAAGGCAAAAACAGTGATATCAATACATAAAATAAGGCAAAATACATAATTCAAGGTTCATAATTCAGTTCAAGGAGATAAGTATATACAGGGAATAAGAATAGCCGAAAAAGCTAACTTAAGATAAAATTAATTAATCAGGTACAGAGCATGCAGGGGCTGTGCTGGTGAAGAGGATGGCAGCTGAGAATTACTCCAGCCGGTCTGAGATTTTGCGTGCAATATTTATGCAATCCCATATGCGTTTCAATGCATTGCGATTTTTTGAAGTAGCTTCGGCCCACGCATGGATGTGGTTTGCTACTGGTTGCCTAAGACGATGTTTGGCAGTCTCTCTGCAAGCGAACAGATAGGGATCTCCTGCCATCCCGCATGAGCAATGGTCGTTTCCACGTCGTCTGAAGCGATGCAAGTAAGTCATGAAGGGACCATGTCTTGTTAGAAACTGGGTGAAGTGAGACGAGCCACTTTTTAGAAGCCGGCAGACTTTTGGAAACAAATCTGTGAACTCTTCTGCCGATGGTCTATGTCTTCCACAAATGTTGCCAACGTTTGAATAATTCTCGAGCTCAGCTTTTAAGAACGAGCCCGGAGAGGCACGTCAAGTGTGGGGGTCAGTTGTTTCTCTTTTGGCTATTGCATCTGCAATTTCATTACCCAGTATTCCGGTGTGGGCAGGTACCCACTGGAGTTCAGGCTTATAGTATTTTGGTGTTCTTAGTAAGAGTTTTTGTATGGTCTTGACGAGTGGATTTTTACTACATGTGCCTTGGATTGCCTGAAGGCTAGAGGCTGAGTCTGAATATACACTGGAATAGTTATTTTCCAGTGCGTAGACAAGTGCAGCTTTTAATGCAATCAGTTCAGCCTGAAAAACTGTGTGATGCTTAAGCTTTCTTTCCCAGATCGTTAAGATCTGGTTCCCATGTAGAACACAGTATCCGCTACCGGTGCTACATTCTCCTTTGGAACCATCGTGTAGATTGCAGTGGCTTTAAATCCCGTTGGTGACCTGCAGTTAATCGAGATGTTGAATTCGACCGGGTGGCAAGGTGGGTCGGGAATGCTTTGCTCATAGTCAGTATAAACATAAGTCCTGTCCCATAAACTTATTGTTTCTTTGAATCGGAGCATTCTCAGTATTATTACTGTCGAGCTTTTATTACTGTCCACTGCTAATCCCTAGTCCTCAAATCATTTAATGCTGCTAGGAAGTGCTACTGAGTCTTATGTCATAATTTGCAAGTCGTCGCCATTGTAACCCTTTGCTATCGTCTTCGTCACCGTTCAGTCTGTCTTTCCACATGCAATGATCTTTAGAACTATCAAGAACCTTATATGTTTCCGTTTCTAGTTCTTCACTTTTATTGCTTTAAAATTCGATGATCAAATCAATTAAAAGAGACACGTTACGCAGCGAATGCATTTTAAAATTTAGGGAAGCTCGTTTTTTGAACGTCTTGAGGAAGAGGGAAATTATGCGAGTGCTTAAAAATGTTCAGAATATTGTGCTAAGAAACTAGAAGGAAAAATGCGCAAGTAAATACGGTAAATTTCTAATTACAACTCTTGAATGTTCACGCATTCTATCATGGTCTCCTGATGATATGAAGTTTGTCCATTCCTGACTTAAATCTTCTGGCTATTTTGAAATATTGTTGTGATTTCTTTCGGATTGACTGCTTTGGAGTTTATCAGAGCTTCGTTCCTTCCTCTTGAATGCTTTTTTTTTTCCCACGTATCTCCTGAGAAAAATTGTAAAGTTTGGGATATTGTAAGCATACTAGCCTGAACAGAAGGTTATTTAGTGTAAGTAACAGATAATAAAGAATAGAAATTAACCCAAATCTTATTTTGTTCGGTCATTAGGCTTTTTTCTGCGGGGGGGGGGAAAGGCAGCAGAATGTACCAGAAAGTTCCATTCTTAATTTATATATATATATATATATATATAAAAGTGCCAAAGCCCTGCAGGAGAGGGACAAAATAGATACATAAAATAACTAATAACATATCAAAATAATTAATAATTAAAATTCAATAAAATGTAAAGAGATAAATAAAAACTCAATAAATTACTAAATTTATACAAATGAATAAACGATAAAATAAAATACCGCAGCTTTACTTACTTGGGGTGTGATCGAAACTACAATTTCAGTCAGAAACTACGGTTAAAGCGTCAGTAATGAGAGTAGAGAGATGCTAAAAATAGTAGCAGAGCGAGGGGGAACTTTTAACAGAGAATTGTGCAGATATGAAACAAAGAGAGAAGAGTCAACATTTTCTGACGATACAATTCCAAATGTGAAACATAATGTAACGGGGAAAAAATTTTCCCAGAGTCCGAGGACTGGTCTGTAAGCTGTGAGGCAAAGTAATTTTCCGCGCATGTGATAATTTTCACCCCACTTGTTACCTCACATCAGAAAGTCTACGGTTTATTTTCCGTGGGAAGACACTGCATCGGGTATTCACGACCAGGGTGATCACTTCTAGCATTTTCGCGAAAAATTTACCCACTCTCACAACTTCATTGCATTTCCTTGAGAAGAAGCCTTTGACATGTGGGTGGGAGCTATTCTTTTCTGAACAGTTTTAATTTCCGCCCAAGAGTTTGTTTTCCAGGAAAAGAGAGGAATGTATTCAAAGTTAGAATCCATTTCTAACTTTTACTTATTATTAAAATAAGATTTTCGAGATTAGAAGAATGTTCTATTGAAATTGTGGTTCAGTTACATAAAAAATCTCCGGAGCCTTCTTATTCAGGGTTCTGGTGCGCTCCGGCTAAAATTACGATTTATCTAAAAAAAAAAAAAAAAAAAATAAGAAGCATCAGCGCTGAATTCCGTTTAGCTCCGGCGCAATTTAAGCTCTGGTTAAGTCAGCTGTTTGTCATCGTAAATCGAACTCGAGTTACCCAACTGTTAGCTGAGTGTTAAGACACCTATGCCACAAAACCATACAAGAAGAAAGTTTTAAATTCCCTAAATTTAAAAGACAGAAATGAAAACAATAAAACTCATTTCAGATTTTTAATTACAGGCAAACGGAGGAGGAACTGCTTTGGAAAAGGCTCTTTTAAAAGTGGCTTTAGTAACTGAAGGATTAAGGCCAAAAGCTAAGAAGGCAATCTTCTTACTCACAGATGGAGAACCGAATATTGGCAGCGAAGGTATCGACCCAGAACACTTAGCCCAGATTCTGAAAAGTGACGCAGGTAATTCCGAGAAGTTTATTTAATATGAATGCTATTAATTAATTGTTAGAATTCATCAATTTATGTTCCTAACATAAAATTCAATTTAATGCTTAGTTGCACATGCATTAATACAGGGTGACGCACGAAAAACCGGCTGCGTGAGTGTACAGAACATGTTAGCTCGTCTCACCTGCTTCGTTGTTTCGGTTGTAGACTTTCTTGTTGTTATTGCAAAATTATAGTACTACAAGGTTTGCCCTTCTCGACCAAGGTCAACCATAGTGTTAACATGAAAGTCTGAATTATTATGCCCCGTTTCTGTTAATGCGGTACGAATGTGGTTCTCCAATCAGCGAACGAACTAACTTTGATTGACATCTGGAATGCGGTGACGTCACTCTATCGAGCATTGGAAAGAGAAAGGTTTGATCTTCAAAGATCATAACCTTGTCTGTCTAATGACTTGAGTACAAAAGTCATGAAAACGCAGGTACAGTCTGGTAACAGACAAAATACATTATATATTATATAACAGACAAGGTTATATTTGTTCTTATTAGACGTGACTGCTCAAAAGAATTCCTTTTGTATCTTCGTTTCTTTCACTTGTGTCAGATCAATTGAGAAACAAGATTAGGCTCTTCCTAACGCTAGTGGGAGAAAAAAGCCACAAAGAGAGTAGCTGCTTTTGAGCAGAATGGGAACTATATAGTGACATCACACAAGAGCAAACTCGCAGTATCTTGACTTGTGTAAGCATGGACCTTATAAGAGATAGACTAACCCGGTGGGCGGGGCGCCCGTCACCGACATGTCGGCAAGAAAGAGTAGGGACGATCTGGTTTACTTTAACACTGAAACCTATGGCGTTTGTATCACATAACTCTTTTTAATTATTAAATGTGATACGTTGTATAGTGATGAGTTTATGAAAGCCACAGTTTTTTCCAAACAGGATTTAATATATCTCATTAAAGCACTTTTTACTGCATTTCGCGCATTTTTTTCACGCGTAATTTTTGTACAAACATCTTTACTTTGATAAAACAGTAAACACTATAAGCACAAAATTTATGAACTTAATTTTGCTTAAAAATAAAGTAAAATTAAATAAGATTGATAGTACGCGATGCTTTGATATAAATAATGTAAAATTAAACAAGATCTGATAACGTTTTTTAAAAAATTTAATGAGCATTTTCAGGCAGTGATTTTTCAAACTATAATAACATTGCAAAACGATCATATTTATTTGATTATATGATCATTAAATTATTTACATTAAGGTGGATTAGTTATTTCAATAATTCATAAAATTCGGAGCATAAAATTTTCTGAGCGTAATGAAGGGAAAAAAAAAAAGATAAAATAAAATCTAGAAGCACTCTTTTTTTAAAGTTTGTGTGTTACCTATATTTATTGAATATCATGTTCTTCGCCCGTAAACCACATACATTTGAAAACAGCATATCCGAACAGTGCTCGCTCTGAACTCGCTGAGTTTGTTAATCAAAAATTCGTTAAAATTTACAAAATGTGAAATAGATTAAAACAAATTCGAAATTCGGCAGTCCAAATGCCTATGTTCGGGTGGAGGATTACATTATTCAAAATTCGATGGCTCTAGATACTGTCGTTTTTGTCACAGTGCGAGAAACATACATGTATTCATGCATGGGCTAATAAATTAAATTAACAATAAATAAAAAAAAATCTTATGCAGAACTAAAAATAAATTTAAAAAAGTCATTATAAAATACAAGCAAAATTAATTATTACGGTTAAAAACAATTTTAATATTAGAATTAAATGTATAAAATTTATTAAGGAGTCAAAAGTGTTTATCACTATGATGTATTATGAAATATAATTGAAATAAAATTCCTTTATAGAAATTGTGCTAATATACTCATCTATAATTTTAGAAAAGCAGCACAATTTAGAATTTTAAAACAAAACTTTCAAAAATTCGTTTTTTTTTTTAAATATTTTAATATATTTTACTTATTACACCAATAAAAAGCATAAAAATTGCAAGAGAAAAATTGCTTGTTGTTTGAAATTTTCTATTAGTTCAAATTTAAAATATTATTTTCTAAAAAAAGTAGTTACAAATTTCCTTACAGCATAGGAAAAGCTAAAAAAATATCCAGTCCTGAAAGCATGCAATAGCTTTATAATTATTTGGAACGTTAATTATGCTCGATAAATATGCTAAATTTTTAAAATTAATCTCAATTTCAAAAATAAAAATATGTAGAAATTCTAATTTGTGAAATGAGGCGCTACAGCTTTTTCTTGAAAATTATACATGCTGCAATAGGCAATCAATGTTAAATTTCTGGAAGTCGTCCCTACTCCTCCGGATGTGATGAAGGTGACAGCCGGCAACGCCTCAGACAAGGAAAACTCTTCAGCATAAAGTAAATTCAAATTGGAATAATTCATTAACGAACGCCGGTATTTGTTTGCTACCCTAAATATAGATTTTACGGTGGATTATTTTTATATACAGTTTGTTGAAATCACTTGTTTATTACATAAAATATGAAATATACATTTTTACATAAGTGAGGAACCAAAAAATGATTTAAAAAAGTGAAAAAGACCGACTCATGAATTCACTAATTCCATGTAATTTTATTCCACCATTTTAACGAAGCGAACTTCAGTTGAACTGGACTTTTGTTGTATGTACGAAACGTTTTCACATCGCAATCAAACTTCGCTATAGCGAACCTGGTTCATAACGACTCCCCTCCCCCCGTTAGATATAACGAACCATCTTTCGGGCCCCATCCAGTTTCCTGCAAACTTAATATTATTTATTTTATACGACTATAGCTAGGGTTGTCATAATTGCCAAGCACTGATACGGAATGTTTAAGTGTTAAATAAATAAAACGTGAATAAGTGGGCAGTTAAAGATTAGTTTTACTCTGATAAAAAATCGATAAAACAATCTAATAGAATCATTACGTTGTAGAGATTTATATTTATTTTAACTAACAACTTAAGTTTAATTTTAAGCTTTGCTATAAGCCTTCATTCTCTTATTTGCCAATGCTAGAATGTTTAAATTTGATAGCGCTCGTGAAGCGAGTTTTAGAAGGAAAAGTTTAGAGAATTTAAGGCTATAGCCGTCATCTCTGTTGAGTGAGTTTCTATTCCCGCAGTTATTGCTGGTTTACGTGGCATATCAGCTTTTACTTTGCTGTCAGTAGTTTCGACGCGGTTTTAAGTTTCTGAGCCCTGTAGCTTATCAATATCTTCTAGTTATTAATATCTTCGATTTTATAATTTTTATTTCAGTTTTTGTGATTTATTTGAGTTACCGCCCGAGTGAGGCGTAGTGTGTTAGTGTCAAGTTGTAGCATTGTGAATTTTAAAGAGTTTAATAAAAGGTACTTTTAAACCTTCTCCTGTGTAGTTCCTACACTATCTTTCTACACAGTTGTCACTTAGAACAGTGCTCCGCAACCGGTGTGCCGCGGCACACTGGTGTGCAATGAGTAGGATATAGGTGTGCCGCAATCAAATACATGTATTTGACATTTTGCAATTTTTTATCATGTATTTAATACACAATGACAATTTGTTTTCCTTAATAATGTCTTTTTATAATGTTTTTATATATTTCACTGTTGTGTGGTTGTGTGTGTGATTCTAAGTGTGTCAGCATTTGAATTTTTTCGGCACTTCCTTGATAACTCGGAACTCTTTGGTGTGCGACGAAATTCCAGAAAGATTTTTTGTGCGTCGCAGGTGAGAAAAGGTTGCAGAGCACTGACTTAGAAGATAAGCAAGTGGTTCTCACAACGTAGAATAGCAAAAGTCATGCAAAACTAATCTTTTTTAGCTTAGTCATATTTAAAGGTGCTTTTACTTTATTTATTATATTATTTTCTTCTTTCAGATAATTACAAAATTTTGTGCAAGTCATTTTAAAATTATATCAAAATTATAACTATTATGTATCAAAATAATCATAAATATTATATGTCAAAATCAATCCAATTATAATTATTATATATCAAATATAAAATTAATATTACTTCAGTTTCCACTGACAGCCTGTTTCTTTCGTCTGACCACTGAATAAAGAAACTGCGTTAAAAAACCTAAGGACTACCTTGCCAATTGTGTGTAAGATGCCGTTAAATAGAAATTAATCATTTGCCTAGTTAACCATTAATTAATTGGTTAATTAGGGGTTACAAATAATTCTTTGAAATGTTCGACTGAAATGTATTAATTTCTTCTTGTTCAAGGTGATTACGTTTAATTAATAATGCACTTGTTGAGAATTAACAGAAAACTTTTTAGAACTAGATCATTTAGGATACAATTTATATGCTTTCGCTATAAAGAATCAAATTGAAAAACAGTTTAAAAATAGCGAAGAAAAGTCTCTTTTCTGTGTTATAACGGCAAAAAAATATCTGCTACTTATCCGTGCTTGACATTAGGGAAAATATTCTCTCCACATTTGCGTAGTGGACTGGAATGGCAAATACTACGTATTAGTCTTGACTCCTGATCAATGCACTTTGTATCTGCAAAATAATTTAGCCATTTTTCGTCTATACTCAATTTCATAGTTGCTTCGAAGTTTTAGTAGGTATTATTTTTCTCTAAATAAACTTTTAGATATGCAGACTGGTTAAATAGAATCTCAGCATTGCCAATATCGATTTTTCTTATTTGTAAATGTGCAATTTTACGTTCTGGTTCTTCCTGTTCAGGAACTTAGTTGAGAGTAATCCAGTCATCACCACTTTAGAGATAACACGGTTCTGAATAGTGAAGTACAGTAACAGTCTTGTAGGTACGAGACGTATGGCAACCGTAGCTATAGCGAGCTTCCATATATATGAAAAATAGGATATAAAGAACTCTGTGCATATTAGACAGTAAATGTTTTCTATTTTTCAAAGTTTTTCCCATCCAGTTTAGGCTATTAGAATAAAGAAAAACACCTTTAGGTTACTATTCCTTTATCTTTAATCTCACCCTTC